AAAAAAAATTAATCTTTGCAACAACACTAAGGGGTAGGAACTATTTTTTTTGCCCCATTTTACAGATATGAAATACGGCACTGTGTTGAAGGTGTTTTCTGGGGTTGATTTAAATGGAATTAATACACTCAGAAAAAAGATTCTTTTTTTTTTTTTTGAGACGGAGTCTCGCTCTTTCGCCCAGGCTGGAGTGCAGTGACCGGATCTCAGCTCACTACAAGCTCCGCCCCCGGGTTTACGCCATTCTCCTGCCTCAGCCTCCCAAGTAGCTGGGACTACAGGCGCCCACCACCGCGCCCGGCTAATTTTTTGGATTTTTTTTTTTAGTAGAGATGGGGTTTCACCGTGTTAGCCAGGATGGTCTCGATCTCCTGACCTCGTGATCCGCCCGTCTCGGCCTTCCAAAGTGCTGGGATTACAGGCTTGAGCCACTGCGCCTGGCGAGAAAAAAGATCCTTAATTGATAAAGGTTTTCTTTTCTTTTTTTTTTTTTTTTTTGAGACAGAGTCTTGCTCTGTCGCCCAGGCTGGAGTGCAATGGCAGGTTCTCCACTCACTGCAACCTCCGCCTCCCGGGTTCAAGCGATTCTTCTGCCTCAGCCTCCTGAGCAGCTGGGATTATAGGTGTGCCCCACCACGCCTGGCTAATTTTTTAGTAGAGACGGGGTTTCTCCGTGTTGGTCATGCTGGTCTTGAACTCCTGACCTCGTGATCCACCCGCCTTGGCCTCTCAAAGTGCTAGGATTATAGGAGTGAGCCATCGTGCCCGGCCAAAGGTTTTCTTTTTATAATTTGTTTCCCTTCTTGGGAATCAATGATACTCCATCCTGGGCTTCTTTTCCTCATCATCTTAGATCTTCTTTTTTTTTTTTGAGACGGAGTCTGGCTCTGTCGCCCAGCCCAGGCTGGAGTGCAGTGGCGCGTTCTCGGCTCACTGCAAGCTCCGCCTCCCGGGTTCACGCCATTCTCCTGCCTCAGCCTCCCGAGTAGCTGGGACTACAGGCGCCCACAACCGCGCCCGGCTAATTTTTTGTAATTTTTAGTAGAGACGGGGTTTCACCGTGGTCTCGATCTCCTGACCTTGTGATCCGCCCGCCTCGGCCTCCCAAAGTGCTGGGATTACAGGCGTGAGCCACCGCGCCCGGCCTAGATCTTCAATATACCTCAACCTTTCTCTTTTTTTCTTTTTCTTTTTTTTTTTTTGAGACAGTCTCACTCCATCACCCAGGCTGGAGGGCAGTGGTGCAGTCTCGACACACTGCAACCTTCACCTCCCAGGCTCAAGCGATTCTTGTGCCTCAGCCTCCCTGGTAGCTGAGATTACAGTAGCCAGCCCCCAGGCCTGGCTAATTTTTAATTTTGTTGTAGAGACGGAGTTTTGCCATGTTGCGCAGGCTGGTCTCGAACTCCTGGCCTCAAGTGATCCGCCTGCCTCAGCCTGCCAAAGTGGTGGGATTACAGGCATAAGCCCGTCCTTTTCTCTTTTTTTCTTTGAAGAAAGACAAGATGTACGTATCTTCCTTCCAATTCTCACTCATGTTCCCTTGTTTTTTGTGTCCCAGGGATGTCAGACACGTGTAGGCAGGATTGAGAAGTGGAGTGTTTGGAGTTTGCTGAAGGGAAGAGAGAGATAGGGATGAGGGGTAAAGGCAGAGTCACAGCCCATGTGCGGAGGATGGGAAGGATGATTTCTTCAGGGCAGAGTTTCTTTTTTCTTTCTTCTTTTTTTTCTTTAATTTTTAAAATTCTCTCCTTCCCCGGTTTTTATTTTGTTGTTGTTTATTTAGGTCTCCACCTATCACCCACACTGGAGCGCAGTGCTGCAATCATAGCTCACTACAGCCTCGAATTCCGAGGCTCAAACCATCTTCCTGCCGCAGCCTAGGATAGGGTTCCTTAACCTGTGGTCCACAGACTAGGAAACCTGTGAACTTGGAATAGAAAAAATAACCTGCCTTTATTTTTGTGAAAGTTCAACAGGAAATTGACATTTCCTTCATTTATGAATGGAAACAACAAACCACAGTAGCAACAGCAGTACCTGTGACATTGTCATGAACAGAAATCACAGGTATTTTGTTTTTGTTTTTCTTTTTTTGAGATGGAGTCTCGATCTGTCCCCCAGGCTGGAGTGCAGTGGTGCCATCTCGGCTCATTGCAAGCTCCGCCTCCCGGGTTCACGCCATTCTCCTGCCCCAGCCTCCTCGGGTAGCTGGGACTACAGGCGCCCACCAACACACCTGGCTAATTTTTTGTATTTTTAGTAGAGACGGGGTTTCACCGTGTTAGCCAGGATGGTCTCCATCTCGTGACCTCGTGATCCACCCTCCTCGGCCTCCCAAAGTGCTGGGATTACAGGAGTGAGCCACCGTGCCCAGCCCATCACAGGTTTTTTCTTTTTTTTTTTTTTTTTTTTTTTTTTTTTTTTTTGAGACGGATCTCGCTCTGCCCAGGCTGAGTGCAGTGCCCGATCTCACTCACTGCAAGCTCCGCCTCCCGGTTATGCCATTCTCCTGCCTCAGCCTCCTGTAGCGGGACACAGGCGCCCGCCACCCCCCGGCTAGTTTTTTGTATTTTTAGAGACAGGGTTTCACCGTGTTAGCCAGGATGGTCTCGATCTCCTGACCTCGTGATCCGCCCGTCTCGGCCTCCCAAAGTGCTGGGATTACAGGCTTGAGCCACCGCGCCCGGCCAGGTATTTTCATATACTACAGTTGATCACTTCTCAGCCTATTGTCTAAGATCAATGCACATTATAGTTGTTGCAGGCATCATAAAATAATACTTATGCTTATTTATGACCTCAGAATTATGGTGGTCATTAGGCCTGCCATTAGATTATCTAATACATTAATAAAAAGTATATATATCGCTATATTACACTTATAAAAATATTTTGAAAACCATATTTTAGTATAGTTGGTTTTCTTTCAATTTCTGTGTATGTTTGTTATATTTCTTTTTTTCTTTCTTTTTTTTTTTTGAGTCGGAGTCTCGCTCTGTGCTCCAGGCTGGAGTGCAGTGGCCTGATCTCAGCTCACTGGAACCTCTGACTCCCTCGTTCAAGCAATTCTCTTGCTTCAGCCTCCCGAGTAGCTGGGATTACAGACATGCACCACCATGCCTGTGGTTTCACCATGTTGGCCAGGATGGTCTTGATCTCCTGACCTTGTGATCTGCCTGCCTTGGCCTCCCAAAATGCTGGGATTACAGGCGTGAGCCACCATGCCCGGCCTTGGCTTTCATTTTTGTTGTCCCATGGTTACCAGAGCCTAAAGAGGTAAGACCTATGAGGCTCTCATAGTTTTTATTTTTTATTTTTTTGAAACAGGGTCTTGCTCTGTTGTCCAGGCTGGAGTGCAGTGGCGTGATCTTGGCTCACTGCAGCCTCCACCTCCCAGTTCAAGCAATTCTCCCACTTCAGCCTTCCCAGTAGCTGGGATTACAGAGGTGTGCCACTACACTTGGCTAATTTTTTTTGCATTTCTATTAGAGATGGGGTTTCACCATGCTGCCCAGGCTGGTCTGGAACTCCTGACCTCAGGTGATCCACCTGCCTTGGCCTCCCAAAGTGCTGTGATTACAAACATGAGCCACCGCGCCCGTCCTCTCTCATAGTTTTATTGTTCTATTTTCCACAGACCCTTCCTTCCTTAATTTTCATGCCTCTTTAATATTCTGTTTCTTTTACCTCACTGACCTTCTTTTTCGTTCTCCTACCTTTTACCGTGGGTGTCTTATTACCCTGCTTAGGGAGTTTAGCATGTCACAGACCACTATCTTCAGGCAGAGGACCCCACATAGTCTCTAGTCCTGATTGTCTACCCTCTCTCAAGTTCTGTAACTTCAGTTGCCTCTAGGACACCTTCACTGGGTTTTACAAAACCCTGTTACCTGGAACTGAATATATTAAAAGCTAAGATTCCTCCCCAAATCTGCATGTTGTGCCAATTTTCCTGGCCAACTATCTTATCTGTCCCCTGGTTTTGGGACCTTATTTAAACCTTTAAATCAATTTTTAAAAAATTGGAATCTTGATGAATGGTGCAAAAATCAATGGATACAAAGGATACGCCGAGATATGTAAGTCTTCCGCCCACTGGTTCCCTAGGCACTCAGTTCCCCTCCCAGGAGGTAACCACTGTTGCCAGCTCGTAAGAGTGATTTTTGATTCCTTCTTCTGCCGGCTCTATCTCAAGTCCTTCCCTGTCTGTGAGATGTGTGCCCTTTCCTTTCCAGGCCCTAGTGAACTGATATCTGGTTGAATTTATATATAAATATTTATATGTGTATATTTTCTATACATATATAACATCTCTCCCTATGGCCTTCCGGCCTGGAGTTTTCATCACGTCGCTTCCTGGATGAAGGAACCTCGAGGGGTGAGGGGCAGGGGTTGGGGGTGATGGAGAAGAGAACCTAAAGGGGACTTAGGTAGGGGGTTCAGAGTGGCCAACTGGCGTGACGCTCTGGCAGGATTCCTATTCCTATTCCTCCCACCTCAGGCCCGCTTCTAGTCCTCTCATCCAAAAGCCTCTCGTTTCCAAGGGCCGAGACAGAGACAGAGACAGCGAGATACACAGAGACAGAGACGCCGAGGCACCAGCATCCCTCTCCCCCTTCGGTCCCGCCCCATCTCTCTGACGGACACTATCGCTCAGCCAATGGTGCTCACGATATGCCCCTGAAGGGCCAATGAACGCCAGAGGAGGGCGGAAGATTCCCCGCCCCCACTTCTAGGCTTGGTTGAACCGTGCAGGTAGGTCCGGGGCTGGGGGAGCTGTCTTTGGCACTGGTGCCCCTGGGGGTGGGGGCACGAGTGGACAGGGGTGATGGTGAGGTACAGGCGGCGGCCCCGACACGACGAGCTCGAGGGAGCGGCCCGGCTGGGAGGCGGGGGGCGGCGGGGCCCGGGGAGCGGGCGCCGCCGAGGGCCCTGGAAGCGGCGGGGCTCGGGGAGAGGGACGCGTGTGTGGGGCACGGGGACCCCCGCCCAGCGCCCACTCGTAGGCCTGGGCCGCAGGCTGCCGACCGAGTGGCCGGGGGGCCTGGCTGCCCCGGGGGCGGGCCGGGGCCGCGGCCGGGGGCGCGGAGCGGAGCTCGGGGCGCCAGGCCGAGCCGAGGTGGGACGGACCGACGCGGAGAGGAAGGGAAGCCGCATCCCGCGGGCCGCCCCTCCTGAAGCGAGCCGGGCAACGGCCGCGGGCGCCCCTGCCCTGAGCCCACCCCGCGCTCTCCCCTCCCTAACAATGGGAATGGGGCAGAAGGAGGCGCCCCACTGCGGAGGGGTGAGGGGTAGGTTTGGGACTGGGGTCCGCGGTGGGGGGAGGTGCGATCTCGGGCTCTCGCCTCTCCGCTCCCTCTGGCTCTGGAGTTGGGGGCCCTGGTGGGGCTTTGAAGCCTGCCTGAGACTTGGGTCAGGAGTCAAACTGCCGCCCCCCGCTCCTCCCCCAAAATCCGGTGAGCGGTAAGGAAAGTGATGCCAAGTCTTCGAAGCCTCAGTGACAAACGCATAGCAAGAACACATCCACTCCAGAGGTGTTTATTTTTTATTTTTATTTAAATAAGGGTACTTTTCGACATTTGTTTTTAACGAAGTGGGTGCTGTTATTTTTGTCCCTACGCGGGCAAGCCTCCATTTTAAGCGAAGCAGTAACTGGTTAAGCTGGAATTGTATTCAGGCCCAGGACTTGAACGAGGATCCTACTAGAGGTCATTTAGTCCATCCTCCAGCCTCCAGGCAAATTTACCTTCCTCCTACCCTCAAAATTAAGTTGCTCGGTCTGCTTTTAACGATCTCTGGGGAAGAAGGGTATTTTATTTGTTTCTAGTACTTCAGTCAAGAATAGGTTTTACTTTTCATGTGGAATTGACTCTGAAACTTAAGCATAATCTTGGGACAGTCGGGATGATTAGAGAGGTTTTACTTTACTAAATATAATTAAATGTAGCAAGGGTCTTTTTTTAGATGGTTAGTTAACAAATCACGTTTAGTGTTTATGAGGTACCCTGGAAACTTTATTCTCTCTGGGATTTTGGCTGTTTGATAAGCAATTTTACATTATCTAAAGTAAGTGTTACATATTTATTTCTCTTTTTATATAACGTATGTTTCTACACATATGTACGGAGACACACACACATTTGCCGTTTTCTAAAGGGGACTGTATTTTCTATACTTTTTTAGTGCGATGAGGCAAATAGTACTTCAAAATCCCTGCCCATGTAGCTTAAACTATTTGCATTTTCTTGATTATTTTTTAGTCTAAATGAAAATCCTCTCTTTCAGATACCTTATCGAAACAAAAGATTTTCCTACCTGCTCATACTTGGTAACCGAGGGAATTACTAAGACTTCTTGCTCATTTCTGAGTATTGTCTTTATATCCTGACACTATGAATGCTATTTGGATGCCTCTTAAGGTAAGATGTGTTATTTTTTCATTACCAGCCTCATTTTATTCATTTTTCTTTAGAACTTTGTAATGCTTGTAATTCTTGAATTTGCTATTCTTCAGTTCCTTTACCTGCCATTTCTCTTGCCTCTTGTGTTTGCTTCCTAGGATTGATTGGCTGTACCTTACTTTGCATTGCTACTGTTCTTTGATTATCGGTGTGAACGTTTTAATGAAGTTCTCAAATTAACTTCCATTATAATGAAAGGCAGTGATCTTTTTAACTTTAAATTATGGCAACTTACATAGTTATAAAATTCTGTTCCAATTTTAGGATAGGTTGGCAATTCAGACATCTAGGTCCACTTTTCAAACAGGTACTTTAGAGTCATAGGTACTAGGGTGTGTCCCACTCTTGCAAATCAGTAGCTGATTCATGTGTTACAAAAGATGTGTCATTAACCATTTGTTTACTCTGAAACTGCATATAGTATATTAGAACATTCTAAGACCTGCTGGTTTACACGTATGACTTTTTCAGAGTCCTCCTGCTGCACCCCAGTCCTTTGCGTGACATTTCACACTGTTTTTCTCAACAGGTAGCACTTATGCCAAGTTTATTTCACAGGGTAAACCTCATTTGGACAGTGTGGACAGATGACCTTTAGATGAAAAAGCTCCCGTTGATGTGGTGGTTCTCCAGTCTCTTTGGCTTCTCTCATCTTTTATACATAGATGGCCAAAGAACCCTCCATTAGGACTAGGCAAAGGGCAGAGCTTAAGACTGGAATGGGTGGCTTCTTTGATTTTCTTGTGACTAAAAATACATTTAAAAAAATTAAATATTTTTAAATTTTACAAACAAAAACCAAAAAAGACATAAGGAGGGTATGGGAGGAAGGACAGAGAAGGATAAGCAGTCTTGGAAACCCTCCACCAGCTTCGCCTTCCTTCAGAGTTGGATACTAGCTTAGTTAAGATTGTTGTGTGCTAATCTGTTCTGTAGACTTCCAGATTAATGCAGAGGAGAAATCGGACAATAATGCAGTCTGCGTAACCTAAATATCTGGACTTGTGGGAAATCTTAGGTCATGTAGACTGAGTTCTCATCTTCATTTACGTTTCAGCTGCTATTGCTGGATAATGAGTGCTTATATTAATATACAGGAAGCCAAAGTGACACAGTTTTTCCAGCATTCTCCCTGTAGAGTTGGAGGGGTTGCATGGGGAATGCAACCAGAAGTTCTGAACCCGTCAAGAATCGGAGGACCCGTGTAAGAGTGTTTCGACTTAGCAAGTGTTGAGCACCAGGACCTGCTGGCCTCTGTCCTTTTTAGGAAGCAGGCAAGGGGATTGAGATGAATATATTGGATTTCGTTTTATAGTTTCCTAGGTTTTAACGAATGTATTTGGTACAGAAAGCCCTACTTTTAAAGATATTTCCAATGTTTAAGGTTTTACCTCTAAATGTCTCTGAACCTGGGTTACCATACAGTAACCTCAGAAGTTCTACCAGAGGTCTCTGGCATGGCAGGAATAGAGAAAGGAAATCAGCTCCATACTGTGAGTTACCACCTGTTACTACTTGAGAATGTAATTACGTGGCTGCCTTAGTTTTGTGTTCCTTACCAATCCTTTGCTCAGTGCGAAACATCTAAGTGTAAACCAATTTTTTGGGGGTAATGTTTTCTTATTTTTATTATTTAGAAACCTTAAAAATTACAGTGTTCGTCTGGTCAGAAAAAAAGGTACTTTTTGCGGGGAGGATAGCATTGAGTTTGTGGGCTGGAAAATAAAAACAGGGAGAGAGAACTTTACTCTTTTGGTGAATAGCCTTAAAACATTTCTAAGATGTAGTTTCAGATTGGAGCTACTTAAGTAAAAAGAAATGATAGGTTAATTAAAGTGCATATTTTGGAGCCCAAATGTTAATTTTATATAGCTCTTATATTTTGTTTCCAATTATCTTATTGTAAAATGAACTCTGTCGTTCTGTCAGGCATTGCTTAAATGTTAGACTGAGTATGTGCTTGTTTCCATGCATATAGAAAGTAGTGTCATACTTACTCTTCACAAACCAAAATGCGAGAGGAGGCAAGTAACAAGGAAGAATAACTCCAGACCAAAACTCTTCAATTTAAGGCACTCTCGTTAATTAGAAGTTCTCATGGAAATTATTATTTATCCCTTTTTCTCTATGTTGGGGGTCTGTACCTTTTTAAAGCCTGAATATTTCTAGCCACGACTAAGCAATGTCAGTGATGTTGCTAGGTCTAGTTGTCAGGGTTAGGGGCTAAGGAGTGGGTGAGATGGGAGAGGTATAGGGAAAGGAAGGAGAATTGAGTGAGTTGGAGAAAAAAGTGAAATGAAAATGAGGAGGAGAGAAAAGATACAGGGTCTTTAGTGTGTGGCATGGAGCCATCATCAGTTGTCTCAGGTAGTTCTTAGGGGCTGCTGGGTGCCTTGTGTGCTAGACTGAACTATGGTGAAATTACGTAAAAACTGTTCTTGACAAGCAAAACGAGAGAATTAAGACATAATATATGGAAAGATCTGCAAGGCAGACAGTTAAGTGATAAAAGCAAGATGCAGAACAGTATGTATGATTTGATACACTTTGTGTTTTTTAGGAAAAAAAAAACAGGAGAAAAAGATAATTTGCATTGGTGTATATATGCAAAAAAAAAAAAAAAAAAAATCTTTAGGGCTGGGCGTGGTGGCTCACAAGTGTAATCCCAGGACTTTGGGAGGCCAAGGCGGGAGGATTGCCTGAGGTCAGGAGTTTGAGACCAGCCTGGCCAATATGGTGAAACCCCGTCTCTACTAAAAATACAAAAACTAGCCTGGGTATAGTGGCACACGCCTGTAATCCCAGCTTCTCGGAGGGCTGAGGCAGGAGAATTGCTTGAGCCCAGGAGACAGAGGTTGTCATGAGCCAAGATCATGCCACTGCACTCCAGCCTGACCGACCAAGCAAGACTCTGTCTCAAAAAGCAACAACAACAACAACAACAACACAAACCTTTAGAAGAATAAATAAGAAAATCGTGGCATTGGTTACCTGTTAGGTCTAGGAATTGTGCAGGTAGAGGAGAGAGTGGGAAGGAGACTTCTCATTGCATTATATCTTTTTACACTTTCTGATGTTTGTATCAGATTTTAAAAATTAAATAGAAAATTGAAAAAAATTTTAAAGAACAGCCTCTCAGTCCTTCCTTTTCTTCTCTTTCTGTGTCTGGAAGTCAGAGAAATGGCAAGGGTTCTAACTGAGAGAGAATAGTTCTTGAATAGTGGTTGAGAGGATACACATGCAAAAGGTCCCATAATCTAGGACACGTGTTCTCTTGAGATCTTCAAGAATTTTGAATTTGGAGATGTATATTTCTAGTACTGAACTGCAAAGTCGAGCATTAAAAAATTTAACTTGGCCAGGCACAATGGCTCATGCCTGTAATCCTAGCACTTTGGGAGGCTGAATAGGCAGATCGCTGGAGCACACAAGTTTGAGACCAGCCTGGGCAACATGGCAAAACCCCATCTCTACTAAAAATGCAAAAGAAAATTAGCCAGGCATGGTGGTGTGCACCTGTAGTCACAACTACTTGAGAGGCTGAGGTGGGAGGCCTGGGAGGTGGAGGTTGCAGTGAGCTGCAATTGCGCCCCTGCAGTCCAGCCTGGGCGATAGAGCCAGACCTTGTCTCTTGTCTCATTAAAGAAAAAAGCGCACACACACACACACACACACACACACACTTGCTTTTAAAGTTTTAGTAAAAAATGTTTTCATTGTATATCCCCTTAAGTTAGCAAATAGATATAATCTCAGCATTCTTCCTTTTTTTTTTTTTTTTGAGACAGTCTTAAACTTTGTTGTCGGGTGATCTTGGCTCACTGCAACCTCCACTTCCTGGGTTCAAGTGATTCTTCTGCTTCAGCCTCCCAAGTAGCTGGGATTACAGGTGCCTGTCACCATGGCCAGCTAATTTTTGTTTGTTTTACTTTTTAGTAGAGATGGGGTTTCACCAGCTTGGCCAGGCTGGTCTTGAACTCCTGACCTCAGGTGATCCACCCGCCTCGGCCTCCCAAAGTGCTGGGATTACAGGCATGAGCCACCATGCCTGGCCTAATCTCAGCACTCTTAACTGTGTGACTTTGGGCGATTTTCTTCATCTCTCTGAGATTCAGGTTCCTCCTTCATACTGGAAATAATAACACTTACTTCAGAGGACTTTTGTATTATATCTGTAAATGACATAGGGCAGTGTTTGGCTTAGTGAATTACTACTGTTCTTATTGTAATTACTAATTTTTTTTTTTTTTTTGAGACGGAGTCTTGCTCTGTTGCCCTGGCTGGAGTGCAGTGGTACAATCTCAGCTCACTGCAACCTCTGTCTCCCGAGTTCAAGCAATTCTCCTGCCTCAGCCTCCTGAGTAGCTGGGATTACAGGCGCATGCCAGCATGCCTGGTTAATTTTTGTATTTTTAGTAGAGACGGGGTTTCACTATATTGGCCAGGCTAGTCTTGAACTCCTGGCCTCAAGTGATCCACCCACCTTGGCCTCCCCAAGTGCTGGGATTACAGGCGTGAGCCACTGTGCCAGCACTTATTATAATTACTATTAATAATAGCTCCTCATAGCCTAGTGGTGAGAGAGAGGGCTCTGGCTATGTGATATTGGGTAAGTTCATTAACGTTTTAGAACCTCGGCGTTAACACTGTTAAAAGGGTTGTTAAAGGGTAATGGGCTGGGCGCGGTAGCTCACGCCTGTAATCCCAGCACTTTGGGAGGCCGAGGCGGGCAGATCACGAGTTCAGGAGATCAAGACCATCCTGGCTAACACGGTGAAACCCCGTCTCTACTAAAAATACAAAAAATTAGCTGGGCAGGGTGGCGGGCGCCTGTAGTCCCAGCTACTCCGGAGGCTGAGGCAGGAGAATGGTGTGAACCCGGGAAGTGGAGCTTGCAGTGAGCCGAGATCGCGCCACTGCGCTCCAGCCTGGGTGACAGGGCGAGACTCTGTCTCCAG